AGCCAGGCGGGATAAGCGGAACTCTTGCGCCCGGTGCTTCGGGAGTTTTGCTTCTGCTGCTGTAGTGTGAAATTGCATTTGCCTTTTTTGCAGCCACGTCGCGCGGCTGACTCATGTTCAGGTTATAATAGATCCCATTATCTTCTTTACAACTGCCGTGGCCAACTCAGAGAGCCCTCATCCTATAACTGGGTATTCAGTATTTGCTTCGTTTGTGAAGAACTGTGTACAGTACTTTTCTATGTTGAGTGTAAGACTGTTCCTTTCAGCGCATGTTCCTACTCTACCAAGTTCATTTTGAATTTTACATGTTTTTGGCTGCCCTGCTCAGTTTTGTATCTGCAGATTAGATAAACACCCCTCTATTTCTTTATCTGAGTGGTTAATAACATATTGGACAAGACTAAATCTTCTGTCCCCCCTCAATACTTTCCCATGTAATTCATGTGGCTGTGGAGATTTAAACTCATTCAAAGTAAAAAGCTATTTCCTGCCCACATTTCTGTCACCTCAAGCTTCTTTTCTCCCTCTTTGTCCTGTTGGACTCCATACTTTCCTGTTGGAGGATACGGAACCAAAGCAAGAGTTAAATCCCTCTCCCTTTGCTTTTTATCTCTTGGAATTTTTCTATCTTCACTGAACCACTGGCGCACTGATTCTTTCTTTTCCCCTTATTTTGAGCATATCAAAAAAAGCTGCATCTGTGTTCCCTTCCGAGTGCCTCTGCCACATCTTCAGCACATGTGCCTAATGACCAGTTAGAGGAGTCCCGTGAGCAGCTTCTGCATCACTCCCTTTCAGGCCACTGCTTTCTGCGTGAGCTCTCTCTTTGCTGGCCTCCAACTGTGGGATGTGGTGTCTTAGAACAGGCAACGGGCAGTGCTATAATTGGGATTCTGGAGAAAGAGCCCTTTGCCAAGGCAGGCTGGCCTGAAAACGTCCATCTTCCCAATATCTTGTAAATTTTTTGCTCCAGAAACCGAGGCATTAATACATCCAACGTGCCTACTCTCGGTCAGAGAAGATGCAGCATGAGCAGAGGAAGGGCATCTTCATCCAACCCCGGATATATGTCCAAGATAAGGATGTGGAATGGAAGACCCCTTCCTCTCCGACAGCTGGGAGAAGGGTTTTCAGGAGGAGCACTCCTGTTCTGTTGGTGGAAGTCCTCCCGTTCTCCATTCTGGCCATTGCTTTAGTCGCCTTGCTGCAGAGGGCCTTTGAAGCTGCTGGAGAAGGGCATTGCAGCCTCTTCCCAAGGGAGCTGGGGGTTACCCTAATGGTCTCTGTCCTTCCCATTGCATGTACAGGTCTGCTCCTGTTGCTTACTGCAGCTCATTACCTGCTGCTATCCAACAGGAGAGAGATTCCAGGCCCAGTTTCGGCCCATTTCATCTGGATTCCAAGGAGGCACACCGCATGCCTGGTGGCAAGTCAAAAGTGTGTGTGTGTCTGTGTGTGTGTCTGTGTATTAACTTTGTCCAGGCAGAAGTGTGTCCCTTTGTAGTGTTAACAGCAAACAGACAATGAGTTCAGGACATACTTTTGCTTGGAAATGGGAGAATGAGAAATGCTGTATCCTCTGGTTTGTTCAACTGTCCAAGGCAAGAGTATCCTTGGTGCCATGTAATAAATCCTAGGACGTGGCTTTGTGCAGTGCTCCTTTTTTGTTGAGAATTGGCAAATGCATCCACCTTGCTCTCCTCCTTGCCCAGGGTTAGTCTTCCTTCAGAGGACATGGGGGGACCTTGTTGTTAGTCCCCCCCCATCTGAGGGGACCGATTCCTCAGAATGTGCAATCAGCATGAGTGGTCCTCTGTCACCATGTCATATAAAGAGCTCCATCAAGGGGGCTGGATTGGGATGAGAATGTACTGACTTGCTTGATGGAACAGGCATACTTCAAGCAGCTCACGGCTGTTGAGAATTAATTTTAACCAAGCCACCAGTGTGCACTAATGCTTGAAGGCTGACTTTCCAGATTTCACATTTCATCAGCAAAGTTCCTTTTCCTAGCCTTACAAAGGCTGCATTGAAGACCCACCTTTGGTCAAGCATAGTGCTGGTTCAGTGGAGCTGAATTTCCTTGTAGAGTGGAACAGATCTTCTCATGTCCATTCACCAAGTCTTATTTATTTCTACTGTTCTGCACATTTCAGTTCTCATGTGTTGGCCATGGCAAGATCCTATGGCCAACAACAGTCTGCTTTAATGAAAGACAAAGAGGGAGATGTGGCATAATCTCTTTCTCGCAACAGCTGCAAATTCCTGGTCCATTTGACCAAGCTACTCTCAGGCTTGTGAAAACCTTCTAAATGGCACATTCTTCCTGTTCCAGCAGAAGTTGCCCTTCTCCATTAATGTCCATGTTGTCTTCTGCAAGATTCCTTCTTCATGTATGTTCCACTTCCTCTCGAGCACAATTCAGTCTGGTAATACTTTCGTGCATCTGTGCAACTTCGAAAGTCTTCGCTCCATGATGAGGTTTCAAAGAAGGTGTTGGGCATTCTCCATTGTTGTTTCTCTCATGCTGACTGGCTGTAATTCTCCCGCTGTCTGGAAGGGCTTTTCCAATGAGAACACGAAACTTAATTCATTTTACTGGGCTTCAGGTAACCTGTGTCAGTAGGAGAGACCATCTTGCATTCCTGAGAATGAGTTTTTCTTTGACCATGGACTGCTAATCCTACTAACACCACTTTGCCGTGTAAGACTTGGGATTCTTGACCAATTCTCTCAGAAGCCTCTCCTTGCAGTTGCAAGGTTTTAGACCTACAGATATGTTCTAGGCCTATGACTGTCCAACAGTCCTGCGAACGGTCACACCTAGAGTAAATGGCCAATCCTCCCCACCCATGCCGTTAATTTCCTCCTTGGGAGAAGGGGCTTCGCACCTTTCCCTTACCTGTGGGGAGCTGGGGGCTAGGAGAGGACTAGCAAAGCTTTGTTGCATTACTAACCGCTCCCATATTGGTCAGACCGGCAGCAGTAGGTGTGGCTTGGCCACTGCAGCCAATCATGTTTGAGACCTGGATGGTTTTCCAGCAGCATGTCTGTTTATTTGGGGGGGGGGGACTAGAGAAGCAAAAGCCACATCACACCTGAGTAGGTAGAGTTAGTTTACTTCTGCATATAACTGGGTGAATTTAAGGTTCAGTTTCCCCTTTGGATGTTAGTTGTCTGAATCAATTGGCCCCTTTTTGGTGTTCCTGCAACTTAGACCCTTCTCCCTTAATTCAGTGAAATGTGGAGACTTTTATATAAGACAATCTATGGCATGACAGGATGATCATTCTTGTGGATATTGTAGAAATATACAGCCCTCAAATCATACATTGCTATTGTGTGATTATGTGCCATTGTTGTTGTTGACTCTTAGCAACCATGTAGATTTTTTACATTGCTACAGCTAGAGGTTATCCCTGAAACTACTATTTATGTTTGAATAATATGTTTTCATTAACTGATTATAAGTTTGTAGTTTCAGTGTCCAACCTCTGATGACAAAAACTAAGCCGGATGTGTTCAGTTGCCCCAACAGAGGCAGCTTCTTCCTCCTTGCTTAGCATTGTGGCAAACAGCAGCCTGTGCCGCCAACCCTGCCTGGTAGTACCTTTGTAGATCTGTAGCAGGAGTGACCTGCATGTGCCTCGTCTGGCCTGGCCCACATGTGAGTCCCCATCCCAGGCTGGGCAAAAAGACAAAATCAACCCATTTCCGATTCCAGAAATCGGAAGCCTGGATGTAGGAATGAGGTATGGTTTTCCACCAGCCTGTGTTGGGGTTCTCAGAACTTCCTGGCATGGTTGGCCTTTCCTCTTTGCTGGCCACGTGGCAACAGCCTGGTCCACCCAACAGGATCTTAGCAGCCTGGAGGGAAATGAGGCTCCCTATCTTGGACATTGCACAACGGTCACCCTGCGAGCCTTGGCAAGTGGAGGCAGAGGGGTGAACATCCCTGCTAGTCCATGGAAAAGAGGCAGATGTCACTTCCCTGGCACTGCTGGAGCTCCTTGGCAGAAGAAGCCTGTGAAGTAGCAATGGGGACCTCATTTCCCACCCAGAAGGACCCCTTTCTGACCTGCTGGGCACAGAATTAGGAAATAGCAGC